CAGCCACCACAGCACTTTCAAAGAAGTAGAAGGAGAAGATGTTGAAGGGACGTATGCCGAAGCGGTGGCCCATGATGAGCCGCGAGGACTCTTCGGTGCTCGAGCTCTCCATCTACTCGGAGGCCTCTTCCTCCTCGGGCGACGAAGACGACGATGATGACCTCGCTTCCGAGTGGAGCGAATGGGAGGACCCCCTGTGGGTCAAAGACGACAACCTGCGGTACCACACCCACCCCACTTCTCTTTCTACTTGAGCTCTTCATCTTTCATCTTTCATCTTTCATCTTTCATCTTTGTCTTCTTGTGGCGCTACACATAAATTCCTGACATTCTTGGCTGGTGGGTGATGAAATGATCAGGCGACCGGCTGCTCGAGGCGACGCCACCAAGGTGAAGGCGCTCAAGGTGCGAAGCCCGAGCTCCTCGGGCCTGCGCCGATCTTCGACCATGGGCGGCGGCTCAGGCTCGGCCCAGCTCATCGTCCGCAAGCTGTCAGCCCTCTCCATCGCCCAGGTGGTGGTACCTGCCGCCTCACCCACCTCCGCCACCACACCGACGACACCGACGACCAAGAGCGACAAATCGAGCCGTTCGATCTCGCTGTCGAAATCGCTGTCGTTCGAGGGTCAGGAGAGCGGGGCCGGCTCGCCTCTCTCCACGCCCTCCACTTCGTCTGCGTCGACGCCCATCTCTTCCCGGTCGTGGCCGGCCGCTTCGTTGTCGGCGTCGCACCTGCGGGTACCCAGGAAGGTGACCGAGCTCGTGGCCCAGGACGAGGCCGACGACGCCTGGAGCCTCGACGGACGCAGCAGCGGCGGCAGCCTCGCCTCCGACGTCGACACCATTCACGAGGAGGAGGACCAGGACAACCACCAGGAATCGGTTGCCTGGCAATACCAGTCCAAGGGCGTCCACCACGACGACGATGATGACAACGGCGGCGACGACGGCGTAGACGACGGATCGGTCGAGGAAGAGGTGGAGGCCGAGCTTTCGAGCGACGAAGGCGGAACCGATGACGACGACGACGACAACGATCAGAAAGCAGGCGACGACGACGACGACGTGGTGGAGGAGAAGGGCATCGAGTACCTCCTCAAGAAGTACTTCCCCGAAACGCTGGCCGCCATCGAGCAGGAGGCGCCACCCGAACCGAATAAGGAGAAGAAGAAGAAGAAGAAGAAGAAGAGCAGCCACAAGAGGAAAGAGAAGAAGGAAAAGAAGGAGAAGAGGACCAAGTCGGAGCGGACGTTGGGCTGTGGCCGCGGCGAGGCGCAGATCAAGCGAATCAAGGACGTCAACGACGACGAAGTGGCGCCCCCGAGCGCGGCGAGCCGGCTGGTGTTCAGCGTGGACGGGGTGATGCTGGAGCGGCGCGACAAGGCCCGGGAGAAGTACCAGAGCCTCTTCATCCCGTCCCTCGACCTCCGGGGCTCCGCCGACGCCGACGCCGACGCTGACAACTCCGACACTGTCAACTCCGACGCCGATGTCGACGTCGACGGCGAGCGCAAGCCGAGCTCGGCCGGCGAAGGGAGGCGAAGGGTGCGGCACAGGAGCGAGCGCGAGCGACGCATGCCGCAGTCGGCGCGGGAGGGCTTCGGCCGCAAGAGCGCGCGCGAGCTGGGGATGATCTTCCGCTGCCGCAGCCGCGAGGACGTCAACGATGACGAACGAAACGTGGTCGATGCCGACGCAGCGGTGGCCTCGCCGCGCACCCGACGGGTCCGGTCGCGCACATTCGAGTCGGTGCCGCCCAGCGAAGAGGCCCAACCCAGCCCGCGGGCCAAGGCCAAGCACAGCTGGGTCATCAAGCGCGAAGACGGCCACCAGCAGCGGCCATCAGCACTCAACGGCAACATCGAACGCGAGCGCGTGGGCCAAGTATATGGCCGGCTGAGCGTGTCGACGTCGTCGTTCGCGCTGGCGGCCGACTCGTCGTCGTCGTCGGCATTCTCGGCGAGCGGGGTGCTGTCGCCGCGCAAGAAGACCGGATCGTTCCGGAGCCTGTTGAGCGGCCGGCGCGCGACGGGGTCGTATACGGGAGCGGCCGAGGCCCAGCAGCAGCTGCGGCGCGATGCGATCTCTGCCGAGCACCCCTCGCTGACTTCGGCTTCTTCATCATCGTCGTGGTCGTCAAAGTCGGCACTCCCCTTCTCTTCGATCAGTTCTTCGACCCCTCTGTCGTCGTCATCATCAACCACGACATCTTCACCCCCGCCATCGCCGTCATCGTCGGCCACGACATCATCGACCTCTGCCACGCGGAGAGGGCGTAGTTCGTCGCTGAACAAGGCCGCCGGGCTCTTCAAGAGGAGCGGCAGTCTTCGCAAGACGAGGGCCGACGACAACATAGGCGGCCTGGCGAGCGGAGACAGCCGGAGCGGTTCGGCGGGGGGCGACCAGCAGGCGCAGCAGAAGGAGAAGGAGAAGAAGGAGAAGGTGGTGGGCGGCATCAAGAAGAGCTGGCGCGAGGTGAAGAGCTACTTCTCCAGCGACCGCGAGGTGAAGACGTACTTCAACGGCTCGGCCGGCATGCCCCCAACCCTGGAGTCCTAGTGTTGCACTCATACTTGTAAAAAGCGTATATATGAATGAGAGCAACATAGCTTACATTACATTGCACGATCATATAAGCATACACTCCTCAGATCGAGGTCGGATTGGTCAATAGTTTCGGCCAACCATGAAAAAGACAATACTGGTCTGGATTGGTTTCGCGTAGATTTCGCCAGAAGAGTTGGGTTGCACAATGTGATGGTACAGGACACACGCGCGGTAGAGATAGAGCGGAAGCTTAGGGAAAGGCAAGCAGACCCCTAGAGCGGTCAGGACACACGACATTTCCTTCCCCTCGGGTCGTGGTACCACCGGGCGTTGAGGAGAGTTACAGATTGCACACTTCTCTCCTTCTGCCACCAGCCCTGAAGGTGACAATAAAGAAGAAGCTTGATAGAGAGAAGAGGACAAGAGAAAGAAGAAGAGAATAGACAAGTTAGAGGAGGTGAGGTTTAGATTAGATACCAAGACACGTATGTCTGACTCTGTTAGACGGCTGAGGGACAAGGGGAGGAGGCGGCGCCACACGCGCAAGAAGGCCTTCGACAAGTCGGCAGGCGCCGGGGCTGCCGCTGCGCAGGTTTCAAGGGACAAGGCTCGGCCCGCCTTGGCACCGCTGCACCTGCTGGCCCTTCTCCACAACCACGCCCGCCGCCCGGACTCGACCAATTGCGACGGCTTCTTCTCGTCGCCCGAGTGCTCCTCCCGCTCTGCCTCGTTCGACGATTTTGGCGATGGTGGTTGTGGCGGCGATGATGCAGTGGTGGACGCGGAGGAGCAGCAGCTCCGAGACGAGCTGGCGTCGTCGACCACCTCATCGCTGTCATCGTCATCGTCATCGTCGTCGACGACGTGGTCCAGCACCGACTCGGGCGAGTGGAGCGACTGGGAGGACCCGCTGTGGGTGAAGGACGATAATCTGCTCCACTCGTGCGATCGCGATCGCCGTCGCATCAGCCCCGCCGCCGTCGTCGAGCCTGCGGCCGGCCAGGCCTCGGGCGACACCGACTCATCGTCACCGCAGCCCGCCCGACGCCCGACGACGACCAAGAAGAAGACGACGAACAAGGCCAAGCGGAACCGCCGCAAGCGCCAGCAGGCCGTGGTTCGGCCCGCCTCGACCGCGGAACAGCCGACCGAGCCGGCGCACTCCGCCGCCGCATTGACGGAGCGCCGCGGGAGTGCTGTCGACGAAGAGGAGGAGGAGGACGATGACGAACTGGTGTGGAGGAAGCGGATCGGGGTCGAGGCGCTGGAGGTCCAGACCGAGGAGCTGCGGCTGAGCGTGGCCGAGGACCCCGTGGCCGCGGCGGCCGCCGTCGTGCTGGACCTGGCCCTCGACAGCCCCTTCTCATCCGCCGACGAGGTGGCCGCCATCAGCTCTCCTGTGCCGATACTGCCGACGTCGCCGACAGCGAAGGCCATCGCCCCGAAGAACCCCGAGGCGGAGTGGCGCGAAGCCGGGGTGGCCCTCATGCACAACAGCGAAGCCGCCATTCGGCTGTACGAGCGCCCATCGGACGGCAGCCGGCGGACCACGTCGGTCGACGTGGCATCGTCGTCATCGGCGCCGATGCCGGCCACGCCGTGCCTGGTCGAGCTCGACGGCGAGTCGTTGTCGACGGGGCGACATAGGGCTCCGCCGCCGCGGCCGCCCCGCGCATTTGCGCCGGCGGCGTCGGATGGGGCGCTGACGCTGGCCAAGCGACCGAGGGCGCCGACAGCGATGGCGACGACGACGGCAGAGATGTCGTGGGCCACGGCGAGGGAGAGCCTGCCGGTGGTGATGCTCTCTTCGGGCGGCAGCCGGCTGCGCGACATGCAGCTCATCCGCGAGATGATCGACGAGCAGCAGCACCGGGTCGCCGCGCGGAAGAAGCGCTCCAAGCAAGCGATGGCGCCTGCGACGAACCCCATCTCCGCGTCTCAGGAAACGACACGACTGTCAACAACAGCGAATACGACGAAGAAGAACGAAAAGAAAACGAAGAAGAACGAAAAGAAAACGAAGAAGAAGTACGAAAACGACGGGAAGAAGAAGGATTCGTACGAGGGGAAGCGGGGGAAGCTGAAGCGGAAGACGAAGCTGTGGAACTCCCTACGGCGGCTCAAGGAAAAGACGGCCGGCGGCGGCGAGGGCAATGGCGATGGCGGCGGCGATGGTGGCGTGGCGAACAACAACAACAACATGGCCGACATCGGGCAGGTCTACGTGGCGGCGATGGCCAACAAGGGCGTCCGGGCCTCGGCTGCCGCGATTCCCACGCGAAGGACAACGAAGCCCGCGCCGAAGAACGAAGTCGAAGAAAACGCGTCGGCCAAAAAGAACGAAGCGAAGGAGAAAGTCGTCGAGATGAATGACGAAGCCGACGTCGGGGAGGTCTTGAGCTTGTCGAGCGCGAGTGGGCACGTGATGAAGGTTCCGGTCCTCAACATGGCCGGCCTCGGTTCGCCCGCCTCTCCAACCACCGCCACCAGCTCCAGCCCGACTTCGACCACATCGTGGCTAGTGTCTTCGGCCTCGATGTCGGCCGTGCCGCTGAGCCCTGGCCCGGCCTACGACGCGACTCCTCGCCCTACGTCAACCGCTGGCGTCGCCCATCGGCCGCGCAACGTGAGCGACCCGACCGGCGGGTCTGCGTCGTCGACGCTGTCGTCAGCGGAGTCGCTGAGCCCGCGGCGCCGCGTGTGGCAGGCCATGACGACGCCCGTGGTGGCGGCCGCCGGGAATCGTTTCCGTCGAAACAGCCGACGGTTCGACCACGCCACCAGCGCCGCCGCCGAACCACTCGAGTGGGTGGCCTCGCCGCTCCTCGACCTCCTGCGCCAGCGGCAGCTCGGCCACCACCAGCAGCAGCCGCCTCAGCTCGCACGTCGTCAGCTGCGAGACTACCGGACCCGCAGCCTCCACCTGCCCGAGAGCCCCGGTGGCCGCCGCCGCCCACCTCGACCACCTCGACCACCTCGCCGACGGCGAGCGGACGCTCCAATCCACGGCCTGAATCGAGCGCGCGAGTGTACATGAACCTGTGTAGATACACAAGTCCACAAGAACCAGGTTGTGTAGATACACAAGTAGGAGTTGATAAAGGAACGTTTCATTGTCATCGCAGTGGGGTGGGCACAAAGCCAACGTGCAGGCTGCTGTCCAGCGACGCGAACGCGAAGAGGCCCTCCTTGGCCTGTGAATAGTCGTTTGTGTGTCGTGTGTGTGTCGTGTGTGTGTCGTGTGTGTGTCGTGTGTGTGTCGTGTGGTGAGCGACGCGGAAATAAGAAAAGCACACGTGAAATGGAAAGCTACCTGGTTCCAGGCGAAGGAGAGGATGGGCTGGGTGCCCGCCGCGACGGTCGCCACGCTCTGCAGGTTCCACGCGTGCCCTCCCGCCGCGCTGCCAGTCTTGTACAGGTCCAGGTACCCGTTGCCCCCTGCATCACCACCAGCGCGGCACAAGAAGAAAGAAAGAAAGAAAACATTAGAGAAAGCGAGAGACACCGCAGGCGAGCACCAGCGAGAGAAGCTTCAAGGAGATGCACCGGCGGTCATGAAGTAGTCGCGGTTGTGTGGACTGAACCGGGCGTCCCACGTGGTGGCGTCCATTGCCTCTGGCGGTCGGAGCGTCGGGCGGCCCTTGACCTCGCGCTTGAGCTCTGGTCCACGCGCCGGCGCCGTGAGATCCAGGTCGAACAGGGTGAAGTGGTCATCGACCGTTGTCGCCACCAGTTTGCCCTGCAGCACATTACACACCCGATTAGCATGCCGTAGTCGATAACACACACGACACACACGACACACACGACACACACACGACATACACACACACACACACACACGACACAGTTCGAGGTCGAAGGACGTACGTCGTGACAGTCCAGGGAGCAGATGCCGGAGCTGCGCGCGAGGTGGTGCTGCCATCGAGGCTGCGCGTTCATGCGCAGTTCGGCCATGTACACCCGCCCGTCGTCATAGCCGGCAAAGAAGCCCTCCTCTGCACGCAGCACGTATACGGACGAGCCCCGTCGTGCGGGCGTGTGAGTGAGTCGCACAACCGACGCCTCGCGCAGGTGGTGCGATCAGTGAGTTTGAGGGCTGAACGCGCGTACGTGATGCTCCGCTGAAGGTCACAGCCCAGCAGTCGCTCTCGGGGAAGGCCAGCTCGGCCACTGCTGCCGTTGGCTTCCCTCGCTGCCGCACGTCCCATACGCATGCCCTGCCATCCCTGCTCCCTGGTTATGCACATTATTACTATTATTGTTCTTATTATTATTATTCTGATAATTATGTACTTGATTAATGAGAACGTAGTGCGTACCGGTGAGAAGGAGATGTGGAGTAGCGTCGATCGAGTTGACGATTTGATCGTGGCCGCCCTCTATTGTGAAGAGCGTCTGCAAGGGGCGCTCCCCTTGCAGACGCTCGACGTCCCACACGCTCACGCGCCCCTCGAAATCGCCTACCGCGAGGAGCCGCCCGCTTGGTGTGCTGAGATCGAAGGTGCCGCATTTCAGGCCCGCCCGACTAAGGCCAGTGGTCGTCTTCTTTGTCCCTCCGGCCTGCTTGGCGGCGTCCAGCATCAGTCGCAGTTGCCCAGAGTCGTCTGCCGGCATCTCCAGCTTGTAGAGGTGGAGAGCCCCCAGCGATGCACTCCCGTCTTGCCGGCAGCCCAGTGCCAGCAGACGTGCAGAAGATGGAATCCACAGAGTGCAGAACGGCGCAAAGGGCAGTGCGGCACTGGCAAACGAGGGCACAATCGTTGGTGCGTCCATCTTGTGCTATCAAATAGTATTATTCCGGGTGCCCGTTCGATGTTGTTTCATGGCGTGTATGAATTTTTGTGTATAAAATAATCTCCATTTTCACGACTTTTTTTCGTGCGAGCTGGCCAGCGAGGCGGACGGTGAGCGCTGCAAGCGAGCCGCTGACAGCAGCCACAGAGCCGCCAGCAAGAAGATGCGTCGCACAAGCAGGTCCTCTGTGGCTGCCATGGCCACGATGACCGCGTTGTCGTCGCCGTCACCATCCTCCTCTGGCTCCTTCGACTTCTCCACCACGCTGCAATACCACTTTAGAAAACGCTTGTTGTTTCAGTGTGGCGCTTATGCCCTCAGTTGCCTCATAAACAAAGGGCCAGTGTGGCAGTGTAGAGAGCAAGTGATGTGTAAGTTCGCGCAAGAGGTCCAGCGCCATAAAATGTAACTTAGTGCACTCTTATGGCTTGTTGTCATGAATGCAGATCAAGGTCGTGATGTACATGTACATGTCGGACTCAAAGGGAAATACAACGATGCGCGCCTGCGCGGGCGACGAAGGGATGTGAGAGAGCCTGTGCGGCATTGTAGCGAGCAGGGACCGAGTGCTGCGTGAGCTTGTGTACAAGGTCCAGCGCCATGGCGCCGGCTTCCTCACCCAGCAGCACAACCGGTGGCCGCTTGCCGCTGCAGACGGATAACCGCGCAACACTTGCGAAGTAAGAGATAAGCGGCCAGCAGACAACTGGAAGTAAGAGAAGGTCTCTAACCATTTCAACCTCATGGCTTTCAGTTTGCTCGCAAGGCGGTCGCATCGCTCCTTGTGTGACAAGCCCTCGGCCATCAGCTGTGCCAGGTAGGCAGTCAGCGCCTCGCTCTCCCGCTGATGTTCGTAGAGATACTGAATGTCCAGCAGCTCCTCCAGGAGCACAAGGCCTGCCGCAAAGACATCTGCCGCTCCGCCGTTGCGCAACACGGCCTGAATCATATGATCATAGCAGGTGGGTACATGGACAAGTAAGCGCTGATGATGACGGAACATGATAGCAAAGGTGTAGGAGCTCACTGTGTAGTCTTGGTCGCGCGCAGCTTGTGCGCACTCAGGAGCGCGATACCCTGGCGTGCCACAGCATACCACGTCGTCCGTGCTGCTTCCTGGCGAGAGACTGAACTCGAAATCGATCAACTTGACCTGCAAACCTGGAGGGAAAAATCAGTTGGCCAGCGCCGGACCAGACAGGAGTGGTCGATGATGGTGCGCACCCTCTCCATCAACTCGTGAGGTGACGATGTTGTCTAGGTAGTTTTTGAGAAGCGGGTTAGGTGGGGACACAATGCAGCAGCCATTATCTGGGATGACGCCCTACCTGCTAGGCCTAGGCCAGGACCTGCTAGGCCTAGTGCTGCCGCCCGGTGAAGTTTTGTGTGGAGATTTTGAGGAGAGTGTTGCCTCCTAGCTTCTCGGGAAGGGCGGACAACTTCATCGTAGCAAAGACAAAACGCAAGCTGGCCGACATCTGTTTTATTTCCATTCGCGCCTTTTGTCCCTCTCGTGCCTAGCATTCTTGCAAAAAACAATCATTATCTCGATTTTTGCGGCATACCCCACATTTTTGTCCTTGGTCAGCAACGCGAAACTGAAAGAACAAATTCCAAACCGTGTTTGGGTGGCGTTGGAGGGGGGGAGGCTGAAGTTCCCTTTGGTTTGGTTTTTGGTTGAAGGGGGCGTGGACAGGCGACGAGCGCACCATCCACTCGACCACAAATTATGCTGTCTGCTTACCCCGTGGGGCAGCAGTAGCCACTACCACGCACAACCGACGTGCAATGGAAGGGGGTAGTGTCTAAAAGGTCCGCCTTCGTGATCGCAGACCTTTCCAGCAAGGTACGTATGCTTTGCCTCTTGGCACGGCCGACCACTTGTACTCTGTCCCATTCGCAATTGTTATGGGACAGAGCACATTGCGTGTGTCGACATCATAATGTCTTGGGTGGTGAAGTGTGTGTTGTCAACACATTAGCGGTCATGTTGGTAAAGGTTTGGAAAAAAATGTATATGAGTTGTGGCGCGTCATGGTTAGATGAGGGCATTGATGATGTCGCGCACGGCGAAGATGGTGCCGACGATGAGCGCCGCGGAGCCGAAGAGGAGGATGATTACGTCCTTGGCGATCACCCACCAGGACAAGGTGCGATGGAACAGCTTCAAGTGGAAGATCACTGCGCACAGCCACGAGTGAGTGTGTGAGTGAAGAAGAAGAAGATGACTGACAAGTCTTCATCAAATCATCATTAACATCAAGCGTCGTACCTGGAAGGATGAAGGCCAGGAACGACGAGCCCAGGGCGCCGATGAGGCCCGAGATGAGGCCGAAGAAGGGGACGAAGAAGGCGATCGTCGCCGTGAACAGACAGCACACCACGCGGATGAAGTTTCCCTGCATACACGACATGTGTCGACACAACCACTGCATTATCAGTCGCTATGCAGACATCGTTGAATGAATGAAAGAAGGGGCTGACCTTGACGTCAAACAGGTTTTCGCTGGCCTTCTTGAGGAAGACGAAGTCGAAGATTTCGGTGACGGGGAAGAGCTGCATGGGGTACGTGAAGACGATGGCGATGATGAGGCACACCTTCACCACGTACGTCAGCGCAGCGTCCTCTACACAAACGTGACACAAACAACAGCGCTCCAGTTAGCAATAAAATAACCATCGTTGAAATGTAAATATAATATAAGAACATAAGAATAATAATCAGGGCATTCGCACCGGGCAGGTTGAGGGTGATGACGTCCTTGGTGTCATTGCCGTAGGTCAGGTATCCCTGGTGGGCCGTGTGCGATTGAGGTGAGACGAAACGCGTCAAATCAAACGTGAAGGGTGCAAGGAGGGTGAGGGTTCGTGGCGTACGAGAATACCAAAGGACCCGAGCATGAGGGTGACCAGGCACAGCACGATGTCGAGCAAGAGCGGATATCGCAGGGCGTCCTTGTTCATGGTGCGCTCCACCGGCACCACCTGCACGCACGCACACACGACTCTTAGCGCCCAAGCCACACGCACGCATGTAACATGGAGTAAAACGGAAAAGAAAAGAAGACGTACGAGGCCGATTCCCTCGAAAGAGGAGGTCACGAGACCGAAGAAAATAGGAAGACCGCTCCAGTTGATGCCCTGCGCAAAGCACGTCAGTGTGCCGTGTGTGTGTGTGTGCTGTGCTGTGTGTGTGTGCTGTGTGTGTGCTGTGCTGTGTGTGTGTGCTGTGTGTGTGTGTGTGTTGGGCTCGAACCTCCATGTTGTAGACCTCGCTGCAATCATCGTAGTAGAGCACGATGGCCATTCCCACCACCAGAGTCACATCGGCAATCAAACTGAACACGCTGAGCTGCTTCACCTTCTTCACGAAGCAGAGCGGCAGCACGCACGCCACGGTGATGCCGATGGAGACGATACTCACTCCCTCCTGTAACGATGTGAATGAGTGAAGAGAGCGCAACTGGTCGATCGCAAAAGAAACAAACAAAGTAAAAGAAAAAGAAAAAGAAACGAGGAAGGCGGTACGCTTAGGAGGTGCAGGTTCTGGATTTCGGATGGCATGAACGAATCGATATTTCTGGCGATGAAGATGGTGTAGCCAATGCAGAAGCCGGTTTGTGTGAACACCTGATGTGCCACGACGACGACGACGACGTGAGTGTTACGAAGGTTTGCGGAGGGCGCGGTGGCCAAACACGGTGGGTAGGTGTGCCGCACCAGGAATATGTCGACGAGCAGCTTGCCCCTCTTGCCCAGCACCTTCGTTCCCAC